CACTGTTTTGGCCTCTCCCGTTGCGGAGCACAGGCTCCGGACGCGCAGGCTCAGCGGCCATGGCTCACGGGCCCAGCCGATCCGAGGCATGTGGGATCCTCCCGGATAGGGGCATGAACCCGCGTCCCCCGCATCGGCAGGCGGACTCTCAACCACTGCGCCACCAGGGAAGCCCCGAATTCTTAATCTTTATAGCTTTCTTCTCTCTGTAAGGTGGTATCTAGTAAGGAGTGAGGGGACAGAATTATTCATTTTCCTGCTACCGGAAAGCATCCAATAATGGGATTAGGAATACAATTTCAAAAAGAACGTGTTTGTGCTCTTTGTATGACGTTTATTTTGATCCGCGGTAAAAGCGGATTTTCATATGCTAAAGATGTAGAACGATCTGTGATCTTAGATAGTCCGGGCAGACATCAGAGAGGAGCTGGTGTGCTTCACAAGGACACAGCAGCTGTGCAGGGAAGCTCAGAGGCAGGGCGGCTTGTAACAGAATCTGTGTGTGTTCCCTCCACCTGCAGTCTCAGAATTCTGTGACCCTGGAGCCACTGCAGCCCGACTGCGACTACACAGTAGAGCTGCAGGCTGTCACCTACTGGGGCCAGACGCGCCTCAAGAGCGCCAAGGTCTCCCTCCAGTTCACGTCCGCACACGCCGTCCACAGCAGTAAGTGCTTCGAGTTCCTTTTTCCTATTTGCAGTCTTTACATGAGAGTCTTCTTACACGTAAATATGTCCTTTGAACTAGGATGTGTACAAATTTTACCTTTGAGTTTTTCTTAGGATTTTTATCCTAAGTTTTATGTGCAGTATTTTGGCGTTATAATGGACGTTTAAGAAGAAAGGGTGTCTCACTCGAACAGATGTTTATACTTCCATGATTTGGGGTCCTTGTGCGTATGTGTACTTGTTTTTAAGGAGGGTCCGCACAGTTAACTGTTGCTTCCCTCCTAAAAATGCGACATGCCCTTTTTTCTTTTCTCCTGGTTTTACACAGTGGTCGCAATTGCTGCAAAAGGCTACCTAATTCTCCACTGGGGGCAGTGACTAAATCATTCCCATACCCGCTTCCTTGTTGCCAGTGGTTCTAAACTAGTCTGTTTGCCATGAACTGAGCAAAGCAAGGGGAGAGTCTTATGAGACACTCACCTCTGAGCTGGAAAATGCCTTACGTGGAGTTTCCGGCTTTGCTCAGAGGTGGGGACTGGTGAGAAGAGCTGTGGGGAAGCTCCTGGCCAGGCATCTGGGGATGGGCAGATAGAAGGCGAGCCCGAGAGAGGCCGCCAGGGGTTTCCGCGGGTCCTGCTTCCCCAGGCTCGCAGGGTCCCGTGGGATCTGCCTTTCATCCCGGGACGGGGCCTGGTCAGACACGGAAGGTGTGACAAGCTTGTTGAATTTAGGAAAGGCAAGGCTGGCTCTGCACTGTCAGACGCAGGGATTGCCCGTAATTATCTTCTACCACCTGGGAAACAATAGGATCCAAACGAGCAGGTCCATTTGAAATGATGCTTTCAAAATAGTTCTAGAAACAGAGCTTCCTACCTATTTGAGAAGTAGTCCTTCTGGAGATGAAATGGATTTGAAAAGTCTACTGTTTCTATGTATAAGTTTGCATACAGTACAACTTTTACATAAAAATTCTCATGGAAACATTTCTATGTGTTTAGTAACTTCACTGATTTTTTTATCAATATTTTTTATTGAAGCAGAGTTGATTTACAGTGTTAATTTCTGCTGTATAGCAAAGTGACTCAGTTAGGCACACACACATATACACACACACACACACATATATATATATATATATTCTTTTCCATTATGGTTTATCCCAGGAGATTGAATATAGTGCCCTGTGCTCTGCAGGAGGACCTTGTTGTTTATCCATTCTCTATGTAATAGTTTGCATCTACTAACCCCAGACTCCCACTCCATCCCTCCCCCAATGCCCTCCCCCTTGGCAACCACAACTGTGTTCTCTATGTCCGTGAGTCTGTTTCTGTTTCATAGACAGGTTCATCTGTGTCATATTTTAGGTTCTACATGTAAGTGATATCATAAGATATGTGTCTTTCTCTTTCTGACTGACTTCGCTTAGTATGATCCTCTCTAGGTCCATCCATGTTCCTGCAAACGGCATGATTTCATTCTTTTTGATGGCTGAGTAGCATTCCATTGTATATATGCACCACGTCTTCTTTTTATCCATTCCTCCGTCGATGGGCATTTAGGTTGTTTCCATGTCTTGGCTGTGCTGTGCTGTGACTGTGCTGCTATGAACACAGGGGCGCACGTATCCTTTTTGGATCTTTTTTTTTTTTTTTTTTTTGCAGTACGCGGGCCTCTCACTGTCGTGGCCTCTCCCGTTGCAGAGCACAGGCTCCGGACGAGCAGGCTCAGCGGCCACGGCTCACGGGCCCAGCCGCTCCGTGGCATGTGGGATCTTCCCAGACCGGGGCACGAACCCGTGTCCCCTGCATTGGGAGGTGGACTCTCAACCACTGCGCCACCAGGGAAGCCCTTTTTTTGATCTTTAAAATTTTTATTTTATATTGGAGTACAGTTGATTAACAATGCTGTGTTAGTTTCAGGTGTACAGCAAAGTGATTTAGTTATATATATATATACCCGTATCTATTCTTTTTCAAATTCTTTTCCCATTTAGGTTATTACAGACTACTGAGCAGAGTTCCCTGCACTATACAGTAGGTCCTTGTTGGTTAAAACCCGCGTTACACAATTCAGTTTTAACAGCATTAATTTGTGTGCCTGATTTCAGCCTGACTGTTCTTAGGGAGGTCCAGTCTTACACTTTGTAAATAGGCCCAATATGTCCATTATATGATTATGAATCAATTTCAAGAGTAATTTTAGAGTCAGATTTAGTAATATCTATGACAGCACTTATGGAGCACGTGACATGTTAAAGGCAAGATATCATGCATTAGACAGCTTCCAGCTGAGAGGAAGAATGAGGCGGAAGTCAATACCAGTGTTATAGGTGTGATGAAACAGGGCCAGAAAATCCTTATGTTCATTGGACAACGTATACCACACGGGTAGGGTCTCAATAGCTTAGTTGCTCGAAGTCATTTTTTCTTTAGCCTGGCTGCACATTACAGTCAACTAGAGAGTTGTTGGTAAAAATGCTAGTGGTAGGGCACCATGCCCAGAGATTATAATTCAATGGTGGCAGGAGGTGGGAGGGTTGGGGGAAGATGCCTCTCAATTTCTTTTTCTTTTCTTTTCTTTCTTTTTTAATTCTACTGAAGTATAGTTGGCTTACAATATTGTGTTTCATTTCTGGTGCACAGCAGAGTGACTCAGTTATACATATATATTTTTTCATGTCCTTCCCCATTATGGTTTATCACAGGATATTGAATATAGTTCCCTGTACTATAGGGTAGGACCTTGTTTTCTATCCATCCTATATATAATAGGTTGCATCTGCTAATCCCAAACTCCCAATCCACCCCTCCCCCACCTCTGCTCCCCCTTGGCAGCCGCAAGTCTATTCTCTATGTCTGCGAGTCTGTTTTTGTTTCCTAGATAGGTTCATGTGAGTCATATTTTAGATTCTGCATACAGGTGGTATCACTTGGTATTTCTCTTTCTGACTTCACTTAGTATGATAATCTCTAGGTCCCTCCATGTTGCTGCCAGTAGCATTATTTCATTCCTTTTTATGGCTGAGTAGTATTCCACTGTATATATGCACCACATCTTCTTTATCCATTCATCTGTTGATGGACACTTAGGTTGCTTCCATGTCTTGTCTATTGTAAATAGTGCTGCTATGAATATAGGGGTGCAGGTATCTTTTTGAATTACAGTTCTGTCTGGATATATGCCCAGGACTGGGATTGCTGGATAATATGGCAACTCTAGTTTTAGTTTTCCGAGGAACCTCCATACTGTTTTCCATAGTGGCTGCAACTTACATTTGCACCATTCATTGATTTCTTTAATGCAGTCCTCCATTCATTCAGCAAACTGTGTCTAATGATGGGAATAATTACTACCTTATACCACTGTACACTGTATTATAGTATAAAGATACGTACACTGTAGGATATATACTATATAGACTGTACGTTATATAGTATATGTGTACCATGTATTTATATGTGTATATATGTTCTGTATATACGCACATGCGTACATATACATGTGCAGACACACTCATACACACATTACTGCAGCACTGGACACATTTCCATCTCTGCCTTCAAAGCGCCTACTGTTGAATTTGGGAGAGAAACATGTCAACATGATTACACAGAGACCAGTCTGTTGCACACAGAGCTGCAGGGAAGCGTGGCGCAGACAGACAGACATGGCGGTGGGAACCAAGAGCACAGCGCTCCTCCTGGGTCCTGAAGAATGGGTGCTCCGTGGGACACAGCGTGTCACCCCACACAAGCGCAGAGTTGGAAGAGAGCATCATTTGTGCAGAGAATCAGCTTGGGGGTGGGGAGTGGAGGGGGGGTCAGTTCCCTCCCTGGGAGACATCAGTGACTCCCGTGGGTGTCATAACCGTCCACGTGCGAAGGCCACCCTGTGTCTCCCAGCTGATGCTCCCTGAAAGCAGAGGTATGTGCTCAGCACCTCCCCTGGGATGGCCAACAGGTACTTCGAATGCAACACCCCCAAACCAAGCTCTTCACTTCCCTCTCACACCCGTTCCTCTCCCAGGCTCTCATGCCCCCAAAGTTCCCACCATTCCCCCTTTTGTTCAAGCCATCCATAGAGGTCATTCGTCATGCTTCGCTTTGCTTTCTCTTCAGAAATCCAGTTCATTAGAAAGTCCTTTTGACTCTAATTTCAGATTCTGTGTGGGATCTGTCCAAGTCTTGCCCTTGTTCAGCCCATTGTCACCTTTCTTATAAAGTAATCTCCTAATTAATATTTGTCTCCACTCTTTCTTAAATATCCATTTTGTAGACAGCTGGCAAAATATTCTTTAGAAAATATTAACCATATCACAGGTTACTCTCCTGAGTTCCACTCTCAAGACTGTCACCTACATCTTCTCTTTGCAAGTCTCCACAGATCTCATCCTTTATTGCTTTCCCATGTTTTCCTCCCCAAATGTCTTCTCAAACCAAAACCCTTTAAACCTCTGCTTCTCCTAAGACCCATTTTTTTTTTTTTTCTATTGGTGGTGGGGATTTCCTCTACTGTGTAAAATAAGTTTGCCTTTTAGTCTCCTGGCTTTTCCAGTAAACAACATTCCTTCCCCATTGGAGACTGGTATGGGATTGCAAACTCCCATAATTTAATATGTGTTTCTGCCCACAACCAAGAACAAGGAGAGGAAAACCCAGCCTTGGCTTGCCATTGTTGAAGTCATGTCATCGAGAATCTCTTCATGGTCCAGCCCACAGACACAACTGTTACAGACTCTGGGTCTCCAGAGCACATCTAGGGCTTTCTCCTTCTTCCTGGGGCATCTCCCCACACACACCTGGTGAGATCCTCTTTAATTAGCTCCCTCTCCCTTCCTCTCGGGTATGATTACAAACCCTTCTCTCTCACTTTAAGCCATTAGGCATCACATAGACTGAATTCTTCCCTCTCAGTGAGCCACTCAGATCCCCCCAGATACAAACGCATCTGTCCTTCACCCCTGAGTGTCTTCCCCTGTCCTCTGGAATCTCCGGTGGAAGCGTCCTTCCTTTTGCACACGACAGATTCCAGTCTGTGGGGTCTAGACCTATCCCTTGGAAAGTACATCCGCTCAACTAAGGTCTCGTCTAGGTCAGAGAACAGGGACTGTCCGCCTGTGTGCCCACAGCAGCCGTCAGAGCCCACGTGCTCCAGAAGCCTAGGCGTGGCCTGTAGCACTGCTTCAGGAACTCCTGTGAAAGCAGACCAGTCAGTTGTTCCCGCTCTTACCCGCGCACGCAACCAACTCCTGTTCCCGCAAGACGCTGAGTGTTATGGTCACTTTCTAATCATCTTGTACAATGAGGTAACGTTTTACCTGACCAATAGAGACGTGACAGTTAACCTACCAAAGGCCACTTTATGCTAGGATTAACTGATGCCTGTCCTGCGGATTCAGAAAAATAAAATAAGAAGTGATAGTGCAAAGTACCTGTCATAATACATGTTATTTGGGTGTCAGCGTAGCCGACAGAAGAGACTGGTTTTACAAAGGATGAGGCAGGATATAGCTGAATACGTGTCAGGATGTTCTTTATAACCCAGTGTTGATATATAATCTCGTAAACACTAGTATATGACTTTTACAAGAACACTATATTTCATCATGAAGCAACTAGAAGTAAGGAATAACTACAACTTTATAGTATAAACAAGGGAAATTATATTTTATAGGAATGAGTGTAGTAAATGTCAGCATATAAATTATTTTTTGAATTATATTTTTCCAGGTCTGCGGGGTGCCAGGTGTATTAATGATAAATATTTCGATGCAAGCAAAGCCTGAATGTTCATACAGTTTTTTAAAAGGGTCCCTTGAAGGAGGAAAGACATAATACTATCTTTAATGGAAATGTAACTTGCTTTTTTGGAGGTAGGAGGAGTATTTCCAGGGTTGACAGATTCCAAATGTTTTCTATAGTTGCCTCATGCAACTGGCATATGCTTCCAGCTCTCCAAAATAAAAATGGAGTGGAGAGAAAATACTCTGAATCTCTCAATCTGAAAAGGTAATCAGAGTTTTGACATCTGGAGAAATAGCATAGTCACTCAATTCTTTTAACTTTCAGGAGTATTAAAGAGTATAAATAAATCAGACCTCATACCTCTTCAGAATGTGAAGGAATGAATTTTATTCCATTTTTGTTTCCTGCTGAAAGTGGAGGACACACTCCGAGTCAAGGACGTCCTCCCAGGACTGAACTATCGCGTCTGTCCCTACATGGGGGATGGGGCATGTCCATGCGTGTCTGTGCTGGAAATATTCAGTAAAGCAGCAAAGATTCGATCTTGAGATATATACATATATGTGTATATATATATTCACACGTCCTTAGGTCTGTAATGAGAAATGAATGTTTCCATGGCATATAAAAGACAGCAGGAAGACAATTTACAGAGAGATTAAACACCGTTTTCTAAACTGTCTTGGTAGTCTGCTGGCGACTTCTTCCCATCACAGGTTCTTAAAGGAATTAGAAGCATAAATGGGCTTGTGAAAATCTGAAGCCTTTAATTCTTTAAAAGAAACATGCTTTAGGTGTAAGCAGCAGGATTCTTTAACCGCCGGGTGGTGTCAAGAAAGGGATGCGTTTGGGGGCGGAGCCTTCTGAGGGCTCCGTGTCCCAGGCCCTCCTCTGGGCTCCAGGCTCGCTGCGCTGGCGTCTGCAGGCTGGGAAGCAGCGTCTCCTGCTATCCCGTCTCGGCACATTCCTGGCCCCCAGAACGCCCACCTCCACCTGCGAGCTGAGGACGGAGGTTTGCCATCAGCGGCTAGTAATTTAATCAGCACGCCCGTGTGATGACGCCTCTGTAAAAATCCAGAAACACGGGGTTCAGAGAGCTTCCGCGGTGGTGAACGCGTGCTGGGGGAGGGGCTCCCTTAGACCCTCAGACGTGGAAGCTCCGCCCCCTTTCCCCACACCCGGCCGTGTGCATCACTTCCATCTGCCTCTTCCTGACTTAGATCCTTCTTTTCCCACTCACTTTTCATATATCCAAGTCAAATTTTATGCTTAGACATGATTAACTTTGAAGACAGATGTTCTTGTTTACGTGAGCTAAATATGGGTTTACATGACAAGCAATATTGATGTGAACATTTCTATACAAGTTTTTCTACGTTATAGATCCTCATCCCTAGAACAGTCTTTTTTGTTACTGTTGTCTGTGGTTTTGTGTTTGTTTCTTTTTTTAAATTGAAGTGTAATTGATTTACAGTGTTGTGTTAGTGTCAGGTATACAGCACAGTGATTCAGTTACACACATGCACCTATTCTTGTTCAGATTATTTTCCATTATAGGTTATTACAAAATATTGAGTATATTTCCCTCTGCTATACAGCAGGTGCTTGTTGGTTATCTCTTCTATATAGAGTAGTGTGTATATTTTAATCTCAAACTCCTAATTTATCCCTCCGCTTCCCCCCTTTCCCCTGTGGTAACCATAAGTTTGTTCTCTATGTCTGTGAGTATGTTTCTGTTTTGTAGATAAGTTCATTTCTGTCGTATTTTAGATGCCACATCTAAGTGATACCATATGATATTTATCTTTCTCCGTCTGACTTACTTCACTCAGTATGATCATCTCTAGGGGCATCCATGTGGCTGTAAATGGCATTATTTCATTCTTTTTGATGGCTGAGTAGTATTCCACTGTATATATGTACTGCATCTTTATCCATTCCTCTGTCGATGGACACTTAGGTTGCTGAGTTATATCCTTTTATTATAAACGGGTAATCTATCAAGTAAATTTTTTCTCTGAGTTCTGTGAATTGCTCTTGCAAGTTATTTGAATCTGAGGAAGGGGTCTCTGGAACCCCCCCATCTACAGCAGGTCATCAGAAGCACTGCTGCCAACCTGGACTCGTGACTCGCATCTGAAGCGGGCGGGGGGGCGCAGTCTTGCAGCACTGAGCCCTTACCCTGTGGGATCTGATGCTGTCTGCAGGTAGAAACTGTCAGAACTGAGTTGAACTGTAGGACACCCCGCTGGGGTCTGAGAATCGGTGGTACGGGGAACCCCTCATACACACAGTGCTATTGGGTGCAGAATCCTTAACCTAATAAATGCCAGAGTTATCCAAACATTCATTTGAATTATTTAAACTAAAATGTAAGTACCAACTAATGTAACTATCCCATTCCTTTTAATCAGATCCATTGCATGGATGGTTTGACAGGCACACCCCGGTAAGGAGAAGTACACACTCGATGTGCTTTTTCTTCCGGGTCCTCAGTTTTCCTTTCCTTCTCCTGATTCACCGCAGGTCAGCATTTCTCTGCATTCATCCTCATCTCTCCCTCTTCCTCCCACCTTCTCAAGAATGCAGACCTCACAGCTCTATTGGAAAAGTTTTGATAACACATTTCTGACTGCTTTATAATCAATACAGCTTAAGCTGTTTTATCTCTCAAAGGGCTACTTGGAATTCTGAAAGCAGAAAAGTCTTGTCTCCAAGGACGGAATTTCTAAACGTACAACTTGTAAAATAAGTGAACTGGTAAAGGAGAGACCTGAGGGCAGGGATTTTTGGTATACGTCCTGCTAAGCCGTATAAATTCTCACCTGGCTCTCTAAAGATGGAGGAACATAACATGCTGGTACTTCTGTGAAAAGCTACCTATACTGTTTTCATGAAATGGTATTTTAATACGACTTCATTTACTTCATAACTGCACAAAAGTCTATCTATTGTGAGAAATACGACTTCCACCTGTTACTGAAATCAGAACATCTTTCCGGGCTGGTGAATGTATGTTGATTCCCACTTTAAGTTCGGGGGATCCCGTGTAATGTATACAGTCTCCTTTTAGGTATGCATTCCAGCGTGTGATGAAGGGGGAGGTGTCGTCAACTTGAGCTGGAAGGAACGTGTAGTCACGTTACATTTTACTTTAAAAATCAGGCAGTAAATATGGATGAATAGCAGAGTGAAATTAAATACACTGGGATTACTGTCAGGTTACAGATTTATTTTTAACAAGTAAATCAGAATGTTGTGCTTTGTTGCAGAAGAACAACTTGGGAAAACTAGAAAAAGTGTGATGCAAATACAGCCTCCGTTTCAAAGACGACGGCCCACTCGCCTCCTGGAAATCGGAGCTCCGTTCTATCAAGACAGCCAGCTGCAAGTGAAGGTGTACTGGAAGAAGACCGAAGGTGGGCAGATGCTTCTGTTTACTTGTTGTTGTTCTTGCTAAGTTTTAGTTTCTATTGGAGTCGAGTTGATTAACAGTGTTCTGTTAGTTTCAGGTGTACAGCAAAGTGATTCAGTTTTACACATACACTCGTGTATTCTTTTTCAAATTCTTTTCCCATTTAGGTTATTACAGAATACTGAGCAGAGTTCCCTGTGCTACACAGTAGGTCCTTATTAGTTATCGATTTTATATACAGTAGTGTGTATATGTCAATCCCAATCTCCCAATTTATCCCTCCCGGCCACCCTTCCCCTTTGGTAACCATAAGTTTGTTTTCTGAGTCTGTGAGTCTGTTTTTGCCTTGTAAATAAGTTCATTTGTGTCATTTTTTTTAAGACTCTGCACATAAGTGACATCATATGATATTTGTCTTTCTCTGTCTGACTTCACTTAGTATGATCATCTCCAGGTCCATTCAAGTTGCTGCAAATGGCATTATTTCATTCTTTTTTATCACCGAGTAATATTCCATTGTATATATGTACCACATCTTCTATAGCCATTCATCTGTTGGTGGACAGTTAGGTTGCTTCCATGTCCTGGCTATTGTAAATAGAGCTGCAGTGAACATTGTGGTCCATGACTCTTTTTGAATTATGGTTTTCTCAGGGTATATGCCCAGGAGTGGGATTGCTGGGTCGTATGGTAGTTCTATTTTTAGTTTTTTAAGGACCCTCCACACTGTTCTCCATAGTGGCTGTATCAATTTACATTCCCACCAGCAGTGAAGGAGGGTTCCCTTTTCTCCACATCCTCTCCAGCATTTATTGTTTGTAGACTTTTTGATGATGGCCATTCTGACTGGGGTGCGGTGATACCGCATTGTAGTTTTGATTTGCATTTCTCTGATAATTAGCAATGTTGAGCATCTTTTCATGTGCCTCTTGGCCATCTGTATGTCTTTGGAGAACTGTCTATTTAGGTTTTCTGCCCATTTTTTTCACTGGGTTGTTTGTTTTCATGATATTGAGCTGTGTGAATTGTCTGTATATTTTAGAGCTTAATGCCTTGTCAGTCACATCGTTTGCAAATATTCTCTTCCATTCCGTAGGTTGTCTTTTCATTTTGTTTATGGTTTCCTTTACTGTGCAAAAGCTTTTAAGTTTAATTAGGTCCCATTTGTTTATTTTTGGTTTTATTTTCATTAATGTAGGAGGTGGATCAAAATGATTTTGCTGGGATTTATGTCAGAGAGTGTTCTGCCTATGTTTTCCTCTCAGAGTTTTATATTTGTTGTTTGCATTGAAGAGCGCTGTGATGTAAGGGCGCTTGTGCAAACGTCACCGTCGAGCTACACTATTGATATTAAGGAAACGGTAGCTGAACAAAACACATTCTTTTTAAAAAATTATTATTAAATGCCTTGCTCTTCTGAAGTCTGAATGGGTTGCCTCTGATTCCCAGGAATCTGTATCCCATACTGAAATCTGCTGCTTACATTTGATCATTTCAGGGATATTAACCTGTCTTCATGTCTTTCCTAAGAAGGTTGATCTTGTGTCCCAAACACTTGAGACAGTCATTATCTTGCACTGTAAATTCTTGTTCTAAATTAGAAGACCTATAATGCAAATAATTTGGAAAATAGAATAAAAGAGCCGATTCTCTTCTCAGTATTTCATAGAAATAGCATTTTACTGGATTTTCTTTCAGAAGTCTCCTATACCTGTTTCTCACTCAGTTGTTTTATATGTATATGTGTGTGTTTGTAAAGCACATTTTCATAAAATGCTAATTGGCATTCTATATTGTTGGTATTTTTAATAACATTTTAAAATGGCTGCCTTGATAGATATTATGCCATAATGATTCCACTACAGTCACACACTTAGCTGCCTTCAGAATTTCCATCTTACAATCAATACTGCAATGAACAGTCACCCTTAGAATAGATTCTTTTTTCTCTTTATCTTTGGGATAAATTCCTTTTGTTTCTTTGTTTTCTGTACTCTTAGAATAGTATTTTTAGAGTTACTTGACATACATTTTTATATTTATCACTTTTGTGCATTTAAGACATAAACTCTATTTTAAGCAAAAAACAATAGATTGTTTCAAGAATTGTTTTTAAAATTCTTCTTATTTTTCTGAAGTGCTATTTCACTCAGGGTATTGGCTCACGAGCCATTGGGGATATTGGTGTTGGAGCTCTTCTTGTTCCAGAATTTTCTTCCAAGCTGCTGAAATTCATTCTCTAGCTAAAATAACATTACCAATCATGTTAATGTTTTATTACTATCATATGTTAATTTAAATTTTATTTATTGAATATTAATTATAAAACTATATGTTAATATATCCATATATGACATTTAATGATAGTTTTAAGTTAATATTAAATTGTAAAATTTATTTGATCTATTGTACAGCCAAGCCCTCCACATCAGTGGGTTCTGTATCTGTGAATTCAACCAAATGTGGATTTTGTGCAATCTTTAAGATTGGCAGTTGGTTGAATCCAAGCGTGCAGAACCCCCAGATACGAAGGGCTAACTGTGGGACTCGAGCAGCCTGGAATTTGGTATCCAGGGTGTGGATCCAATCCCCACTCTCCAGTGGGTACCAAAGGATGACTGTATTTATCAATTTCAAATTAGAATTGTA